AAGCTCTGTGACATTTTTGGGTCACAAAATTGATGCAGAAGGATTACATCCTACATCAGAACGCATTGAAGCTATAAGTGATATGCCAAGCCCTACAAATGTAAGTGAACTGAGATCTTTTTTGGGATCGATAACTTATTATGGACGTTTTATACCAAACCTACATGTTATTTGCGTTCCATTATACAGACACCTGATAAACAACTCAACATTCAGGTGGACAGTTGATGATGAAAAATTATTCCATGAATTAAAAAATATCCTTAGTTCATCAGATACTCTGGTACATTTAAATCATGAATTGCCAGTAGTAGTTACAAGTGATGCAAGTTCGAAGGGTATTGGGTCAGTTTTGTTTCACAAATTCCCTAATAAACAACTAAAACCAATTGCTTATGCTTCACGCACGTTGAGTGATGCGGAAACCCGATATTCTACTATAGATAAGGAAGCTTTAGGAATCGTGTTTGCAGTTACAAAATTCCACCATTATCTATATGGAAGATATTTTACACTGTTAACAGATCACAAGCCTCTAGAACGAATATTCAGTAAAGACCGTGAAACACCAAAAATTGCTAGTAATAGACTTCTCAGATGGGCCATGACATTGAATAGCTATGATTTTGACATAGCGTACCAGCCTGGAAAAGAAAATGCACCAGCAGACGCATTATCACGTCTACCACTTCCTGATACAAAAACATCCCCTTTGGAAGAAGCTGGACTACCTAAAAGAAGTCAACTTTTGCATCTTAGACTACACCATCTTCCTATCACAAAGAAAGTTTTGCAGTCAAAAACATCAAGTGATGCTATTCTCATCAGAGTTATAAGATGCATACAATCTTATTGGCCTGATAAAAGACAACTACCTAACGAAATCCTTCCATACTTCGAGAAACGTGAAGAACTTTCATTTGAGGAAAATATCCTTCTTTGGAAAGGAAGAATTTGTATTCCAGAAGCACTTAGACATGAGGTATTGATGATGCTTCATGATGGACATCCTGGTATAACTACCATGCAGTCCAGTGCACGTTTACATGTCTACTGGCCGAACATTGTGAGTTTCGTTACAACATGTACTTCTTGTCAAGAATCTAAACAAAATGATCATAAACTACCATTGTATCCATGGAGTGCTCCTTCGGAACCCTGGTCGCGAGTGCATATAGACTTTGCCGGACCTTTCGAAGGAAAAATGTGGCTAATCATAATAGATGCTTACACACGCTGGCTCGAGATCTTTCCGATGAAGAACATCACCACGTGCTTCATCAACAATTAACGTGCTTCATGAAGTTTTTTCGAGATTAGGTTATCCGAAAATAATTGTGTCGGATAATGGTCCTCAGTTAACCGCTGAAGAATTTGGTTCATTTTGCAAGTCTTATGGTATCACACATATTCGATCAACACCGTATCACCCCAAGACAAACGGACTTGCAGAAAGAGCAGTGAAGACTTTCAAAGATCGCATGTCAGCTAGTGGACAAGAAAAAAATAAAGATGAACGTTTACAAAGTTTTTTGTTGACTTATCGTAATACTATACAATGTTCGACAGGCAGGGCTCCAAGCAAATTGATGTTTGGACGACATTTACGTACTCTGTTCGACCCGATCTATTCCGACACATGGATAAGGCAAAACTTGATCAGAAACTAATTCATGATCGTGGTTCAAAAGACTCGATATTTCATCCAAATCAGACGGTCTGGGTGAATAATCCACTAGGTAAAGGATCCACACCAGAAACAGTAACGGATCATACAGGACCTTATTCATATATTGTTGAGGTAAATAGAACACCAAAGAGGAAGCATGAAGATCAGTTAAGACCTCGTTTGAACCAACCTATCCAAGTGGAACAAAAACAGGAACATGCCAAGGATTCTGAGAAACCTTTAATAACATGTGTTTCTAATGCCTTGCAAGATGAAAATTCCACCAGAGAAAGCATGACACAACCTGTGAATATAGAGATACAAGCCAATGACGACATCATTCAAGAAGAACAGACGATCTTTCCGGAGCCTAGAAGAAACCCGTCACGGAACCGGAAACTGCCTGCTCGTTATCGTGACTGAGTAAAACATTCATTCCTCGTTTTGTTTTGGTAGGGAGAAATGTAGTATCATGTTCCATGTTTATTATTTTAGTTCTTTCATCTGACAGTTCGAATGTTCTGTGATGTCAATTATGTCAATAAAAATAAACACATCGACTATCAGTAAAAGGTGATTATTTCAATTAACCCAACCATACCACAAATCCCGTCGTACAAGCCCAGATAGATAAGGAACTTGATGAGATGCTTAGACTAGGAGTAGTCGAACCGTCTAACAGTCCCTGGTCTTCTCTGATACTTCTTGTGAAAAAGAAAGACGGAAGTTTTCGATTTTGTGTAGACTATAGGAAACTTAATTCAGTCACTGTTCGGGATAGTTACCCCTTACCTTTTGTCTCGGATACCCTTGATAAACTGAGAGATGCGAAATATTCATCTAGTTTAGATGTCAAATCAGCGTATTGGCAGGTCCCGGTAGCGGAAAGTTCGCGTCCTTACACGGCATTTACTGTACCAAACAGAGGGTTGTACCAATTTCGGAGGTTACCGTTCGGTTTGCACAACGCTCCGGCAACGTGGCAACGATTAATTGACAACGTTTTAGGGCATGATTTAGAACCCAATGTATTTGTTTACCTGGACGATATTGTCATAGTCACGTCGACTTTCGAACAATACTTGAAAGTCTTGAATGAAGTTTTTAGACGTTTAAGGGAAGCCAACATAACTGTAAGTGTTGACAAGTGTCAGTTTTGTCGCCCGGAAATGAGATACCTTGGTTACATCGTAGACCGGAGAAGGTTCGAGCTATGCTTGATCTTCCCCCTCCAACTATTGTCACGGAAGTTCGTCGTATAGTGGGGACATTTTCTTGGTATAGACGATTTATAGAGAATTTCTCGTCAGTTATAGTTCCGATTACAGCATTGCTACGGAAGAATTCCAAGTTTGAATGGACTAGCGAATGTGATGATTCATTTCGGCGAATTAAAGAAAGTCTGGTGTCAGCACCGATTCTTAGCTGCCCTGATTACTCAAAGCTATTTGTGGTTCAAACAGATGCTTCCGGCTATGGTATCGAAGCGGTTTTGATGCAGCCTCATGAGACAGGGGATAAGGTTATATGTTATTTGAGCCGATCTCTGACGCGTGCAGAGAGGAATAATACTACTACGGAATGTGAGTGCCTTGCCGTTCTTTGGGCAATCGAGAAACTGAGGCCGTATTTGGAATCGGTTGAGTTCACCGTCGTTACTGACAATTATAGTCTTCTCTGGCTCCAGAGCCTTAAAGATTTAACTGGTCGTTTGGCGTGCTGGGCAGTGAGACTACAGCAGTACAGTTTCAAAGTGATTCATCGGAAGAGAAAGGATAACGTAGTCCCCGTAGCACTTTCTCGGTCGGTTCCCGTTGTAGACTTAATTGAGAGTGCTGAGGGTCCGTCAGTGTGTGAAGATACCGAGGATGATAGATGGTATAGATCTATGAGAGAAAGAATTCAAAGGAATCCCTTGAAATTTGGTTGTTGGAGAGAATCCAATGGCAAGTTTTGGAAGCATGTACGTGCCGATTATCCCAGATTGTCGCCTCATAGTGACTCCTGGAAAATCGTTGTACCCAAACGTGACCGATACAATATTATGGTTGCTGCTCATGAACCACCTACTTCAGGGCATACCGGTGTTTTCAAGACCTACGCCAGAATTGCTGATAAATATTATTGGCCCAAGATGAGAAGTGATGTGGCTCGATTTGTACGTCGTTGTAATATTTGCGCTGCTCATAAAGTTTCTCAGGATGGCCCGGTAGATAAAATGGTGTCGCACCCTAAAGTTTCTAGACCATGGGAAATGATTTCTACGGACATAATGGGTCCGCTGCCACGTTCAAAACGAGGAAATTGTTTTATATTGGTGGTTACTGATTATCTCACTAAGTTTCCAGTCGTCTTTCCTCTCAGGAAGGTTACTTCCAATGTCATAATCAATAAATTGGAAAGTGACGTGTTCTTATTGTTTGGAGTGCCTAAGATAATTATTTGTGACAATGGACCTCAATATCGTAGTAAAGAGTTTAAGAAATTTGCTGAAAAATACCAAAGCCACATTAAATTCAGTGCTAATTACCACCCTAGGGCAAATCCCACAGAAAGGGTTAATAGAACCCTGAAAACAATGCTTTCTATGTATATTTCAGATAATCATCGTTGTTGGGATGAAAATCTCGACAAGATTGCTTGTGCAATTCGCACCTCCAAGCACGAAATCACTAAAGTTACCCCATACTTTGCGAATTTCGGCCGGAATATGGCGTTGTCTGGTGCAGATTATGTCAAGGGAGAAGTTGTTGATCCGGAAGATGAATATCGTATTGATGATAGTCATAGGAATGAAGCCCTCAAGGAAATGTTCAAGGATGTTCGTTGGCGTCTAGAACTTGCTGGAAATAGGAATTGCGAGCGATATAATCTTCGTCGTCGACATGTGGAGTACCTACCTAATGCCGTAGTATGGAAGAAGAATTACGTATTATCGGATGCCTCCAAATATTTTTCCTCCAAGTTAGCTCCTCGTTATGTTAGTCCGTATTACATTAAGAAGCGTGTCTCTCCGTGGATGTACGAATTGAGAGGTGCGGACGGTAACTCGAAGGGAATATGGCATACAAAGGATTTGAAGCCAGCTTCAAATGGGTCTATAGAGTTTTAAGAGAAATTTACGGGGTAAATTTCTTGAACTAAGGGGGGGGATTTGTAACGTTCAAATTTCATTCTAAGAGTACATTAGTAATTACACGCCCTGTATGTGAAATCAATCTCATTTATTCAGCACATTTGTACATACAATTTTAAAATAAAAGGATATCCCATTCCAACGAATCCGCCTCTGGTTGTTTGACTGGAACTGAAAAAAAAAAGAATGTGTTAATTAGTTTAAGTAGAGGAAATATTTGTTATGATTTTATGGTGAATCGAACAATTCACTGTTAACGACCACATACATAAATGATGAGTCAATATTCACCTTATTTCAGTAGTTGCAGAATGAGAGTCATAAGGGTTTCGTTCGATTCACCATAAAATCATAACAAATATTTCCTCTACTTAAACTAATTAACACATTCTTTTTTTTTCAGCTCCAGTCAAACAACCAGAGGCGGATTCGTTGGAATGAAATATCCTTTTATTTTAAAATTGTATGTACAAATGTGCTGAATAAATGAGATTGATTTCACATACAGGGTGTGTGATTACTAATGTACTCTTAGAATGAAATTTGAACGTTACACATTTCCTTGTTTTCCTCGGATAGCCTTTTGTTCTTCTCCTTTATCCTTTCAAGTTCTCCCCCATTTTCCAATGTGTTGGAACCTGAGAATCTAAAATTTGAAGATTAAAAAACAGTTATCGAATTCTTTTTTCAAACATGTGCCTTCGGCACATTCAGTTCTGAAAAGAACTAGTCTCTCGGTGCTTTTGTGTAAACACAGCACTGCACTAAAACACTTAGTTTGGATCGCTTTGGATTAACTTCTTATCGCTTCACTTAGGTAAAGCTTTCACTTTGATGTTTTTACCTCGGCGTCTCGACTCTGAATGACTCATGTCAATGTCGAAAACGCCCTCCTGAAACATCTACTTTTATATATATAATATGTGTTGTATGAAAATTATTACTTGAACATTTCGGTGTCAGTAAATGTTTCATTCCCGCTCGGAGTGCATTATTTGCAACCTAATTTTGCACGAAGAATCTTAAAGGTTTTTTTTTATGAAAGTGAACAGAATAATTGGCAAACTGGATTGATGAAGTTTGCATAATTGGAGTTTTAATGAGAGTAAGTATATACATGTGTATATTATACATAAATGAGCATATATATTTACATACATATAGACAGTGTTGCCACAAGCCATTTTTTCATCGAGGTAGATTTCTGGAAGGGAACGGGGTAGAACCGGAGTGGATCCACATTCACATGATGACATCAATCACAGTGACGTATACCTATGATTGTCGTTCTTTGTTCTATGATAAATTTGACGATCGTAATCGAAAACACGTCAAATGTCATTGCATCCAAATTTGGGATCGATGTGTTTTCAAACCATTCCTCGAAAATATTAGCTTCCATGTTCTTATGATAGTTAACATTGTAGTCCTCAATTTTTTTCCATATCATTTACTTCCTCCGCAATGCACAATGATTAGTCGCGATCCTTTAGTTGCAGGCTTGTTTGGCGTACACATTCTCGAACCATCAGTCCACCCTTTCGCAACTGTGTCGTTAGTGACATCCCAAGTTTCGTCCAAATAGAAAATTTGCCGTTGTTCTTGTCTATATTTAGTTATTCGTTCTAAGCATTTATTACGCAATTCTACTATTCTTCTGCTTTCCATAACTGCTTGACATTTGTTAATTATTTTAAATCTAAATCCTAGTATCTTTATCCAATTCTGAAGAGTTTTGTCACAGCAGCTCACGTTATGGCCGGAAGTATTCAATTTATTTCTTATGATTTCAATGTAGGAATCTCATTGATTTTGTAACAGTAGTATATTGTTTTTTCAATGATTTTATTGGATGAAGATTTAAAGGTTTTGGTAATCCTGTATCACATCGCGTCTTGCGTCCATAAGGTTTGTTTTTGACTATTTCACGTACAGTTGAGAAAGGAATTTCTGTCAAATCTGATGTTACTTGTAATAGTTTGTTTCCTCGAAACCAAACTTGAGATGAAGATTCTTATATACATTGAAACATACTCTCTGTGTTTAAATATTCAAATGCATCCGAATCTTATTCCCTGGTATCTCTTTTTCGCATTGTTCACCATCACTATTGGAATCACTACATTGGAAAAAGTCTGCGTTGTTATCACACTCGTTATTACTATTTGTACTTGTCCAAAGACGCCACATTTTAAATAGATAACAAAAATTGTAAGTAAATATAACTGCACCAATATCGAATTTCAACACTCAAATTGGAAGCAGTTTCTGAACTGAACACGACAGCGATAACCAAAGGCCGCACTCCATGATTTCTATTCGTCACCGTAACATGACTTCAAATTCAATTTTATGACTCTTCAGTCAATCACAAAACTCGGTTAGTAGAAATTATCCAATACGAAACGCCAAGTGTACAGTCCACACATAGAAATGCTGCCGGTTCATTTCTATGTGTTGGTTTTTATGACCTTTGAGGGTGCCGACAACTGTAATAGTGTACAATATCGGTTACTCCGACTATACATATAACTACATTTACATCACAGACTGAGATTGCACATAATATGAACATTTCCACATTCAGGTTCTCAACTTCAACTAAATCGAATGTCATGTCACAAACATCAAATAAACATAAAAAACGCGGTAGATTCAAAATCAAACCTGAATATTTGTTGATTTTTTCAATTTTTATTTTACATTCTTTTGCTTTATATCTGAGCAGGGTGGTAGATTTACTTGAGGGGAGCGAGAGGGTGAAATTGAGTTCAAGAGGGGTAGAACTAAACTACCCCATACGGGGTAGCTGTGGCAACAGTGCATATAGATGAAGCTGAAGAAGTTTTACATCAGTCGTGTGGTCTAAAGCACATGTGCTTTTTTATTGAAAATACTACATTTTTGTTTTGAATATTGCTAATTCAATTCAATCAATAGTCCATTCGAAACGTTAATGTGATTTTATTATTCTAGGTGTACAGAAGCGCATAAGAGGGAATATAATTTAATCATTTGTTTCTTGGAAACTCTGAGTTCAACAGTTGAAATTGAAATTACGAATCTAATCTCGAAATTTTAACTTTATTTTCGAAATTTCGACTTTCAACTTTCAATTACGAGTTGAATCACAAAATTTCGACTTCAAACTCAAAATTTCTAGAATGAAGTCGAAATGAAGTCGTAACTTCAAATTGGAATTCATAAACTAAAGACTGAAAAAAAAACATTTTATTTTAGTTTATAAATATGCACCTATGCTTTCCATCAAATCGATGGAGTAACCGACGAATTTACGAACGGTCTATCGACGTATCTGTCATCAGTTGATTTTCTAAACGTGCTCGTTTGCTTTTGACTTGCTTCGAAATTCCAAGAAAATTAATTTTATTTAAAACAGATTCGATAGCGATTTGTAGTTTACTTCTCATTATGAACGGTACTTAAAAAATTTTTCGTTACCGATATTATCTGCAGAAACTTCCAAAGTAGGAATTGAAGCGGTACGATGAAATGATGGTTGCCTACTTCGATGCCTAATTATTTCGATCGGGATCGGATTTTCAATCGGTTCCAGCTCGAGCGTTTTTGTTTCCTTCCATAAAAACGCTGGCTGTTATCTTCAAATTGTTCTACAGTTCGTTGACCCTTAGATACTTCCCCAGAAGGTGAAAGCATGCTGTTGTTGTCATGCTCCCAAAACAGGAGCAGAACCGGCTTTTCCCGCAGAACTATCGCCCGATTAGTCTGCTCTCGTCGGCGGCTGAGCTGGCTGAAAGAGTCGTTCTTCAAAGGCTCAACGAAGAAGTTGAGGACGGAAATGTTCTGCCTGACGAACAATTCGGATTCAGGAGAGAACACTCCTCTGAGTTATAGGCTCTGAGACTGGTTGAAAATACCATCGCGGAGCTAAACCGTAACAGAAAAGTCCATGTAGTCTTATTAGACATTTCGAAGGCCTTCGACCGTGTTTGGCACGAAGGCCTTCTACACAAACTAATTGCGTTCGACCTGCCTCGGGGCCTGATCCGGTGGATTGGGTCCTTCCTGAAAGACAGAACATTTCAGGTTAGAGTAGAGGGCTCTCTGTCTGATAACAGAGAGATCCTCGCTGGAGTGTCACAGGGGGCCGTGCTCTCTCCCACGCTATATTCGCTTTACACCAGCGACCTTCCGAGCTCCGAGCATATGAAGGTATCTCTCTACGCCGACGACACGACATGGTTCGTGCGGAATGAAGCCATCCGCAGAGATTTACAGCTGCCTTCCATTCAGCAGTCCATCCAGTCGAGGAATCGGCGAGTTTTAGATTGCGCTGAAACTCACGAAAATCCATTAGTCAGGAAAGCTATAGATTACGCTGTAGACGACCCCTCCCGATATAGAAGGCCCCGACACTCTGTCGAATGAGGCCCCTATGTCCTCCGTTAACAGATGAATAATATCTTCATCCATCTCACCCCAGCCAGGTAGGGGTACACCGCGAAGGGCGGCACTGATGTCTGAGGACACTCATGCCGTCACCAATGATCAGTTAAGACCCATTTGTCACGCTGACGAAAACCAGCGTTCAAAGGGCAAGGGGGCAAGACTCCAGCCTGGACGAACCCAAGACGGCTGTCGATTAAATCGTTCTGTATTCGATCATTTCATTTGGTTGTTCGATGATAGGTGTGACCTCTTGATTTTAGAAACTTACGAAATTCTGTACCAATTTCGACTGGGTTTCTCGTCTGGCACAGGTAAGGGTGCAGCGCCCCTTCTAAATTGTACACACGCAAATTTGAATTTATTTATTTCCACATTTATCTTGAACGCTAACCAATTAAACTGAATCTACTGAAATTCGGTCGAGTTTATTGAACAAAAATACCATTAATCCGAACCCCGTACTTCCAACGAAACTGACCAAAAGTCGTTCCGTTACAGAATTTGTGACCATTCTGCGCGTCCGTACTAGATGTGTTTTGTTGGCATCAATCATATTCCAAATCTAGCATTCCCGCCAAAAGTTATTCGCTCTCTTTGTAAAATCTAAATACATCGAATATAGATAACGAATAACTTTTGGAGGAAATTACTCAATCTGAGTGCCAACAAAACACAACTTCTCGTCGATGTATTTTGATCGAGCAGGAAATGACTGATATGGAACAAAACCTATAACAGTCTGTACTGAATCTAGATTTTTTTTTCTTTTTTTCCTCCCATTTGATTTTGACATTGACACTGGATTATTATTCAAGATAGTTTTTTATTACTGAATCATTTTCAACAATACACATCAAAAATATGTATATGAATAACAAAACATGTGGAAAACAACATCT